AAATAAAATCTTTAAAGAAAAAAAAAATGCAAGGGAAAAGCTAGCAGAAATTGTCTTCAACTTTTTCAGAACCCTGGAAGTTAATTAACCAAAGGATTGCAGCATCCCAGCAGTGTTTAAGAAAAGCAGCCCAATCTCGGTAAGAACAGGGAGTTTGGAGGTGTTTCCACTTTTCCTGGTTAAAGCTGCTGGCCAGCCCGGTGGTAATCCTGGAAATTACAGCCCACATTCCTGGTACTGAAGGGAGCAGAACCCCTTCCGTGCAAATAATTGCCGTATTTGACTTGTCTGCGGGCCCTCCCCGGAAGGCCCTCCTGCAAACCTCGCTGCGCTCGCCTCGACCGGTAAGTAGTCTGTGCCTTGAGGCTGTTTGCTGAGGGCAGTTACGGGCAGGCTTGTGATTTCAAAGCTGCCCCAAGCGGTGGGTCACAGCTGCAGCTACTAATAGAGTAACCAGAAAGCTTTTAAGGCGAATAGAGCCTCCACACGGATGTTGAAAAGCCGTACGCATTTGTGGGATATGAAAGGTCACAAACATAAATAGGGTACGCACATGCTCACGAAAGACCTGAAAAAGCCCTAAATGGTTACCTCCGGCTGACCTCGAGGCCCTGTGCACGGTGAAGGGAATCCGCAGGCAGAGTTGCTGACCGTCCGCCTGAGTGCTGAAAGGCCCGCCTCAACAGGCGCACAGAGCCCTTTGGGAGACTGGGAAGCTCACTGATCGCAGGCATTTAAAGTCTCTGTCCAATCATTAGCGGACTGTTGAGCTGACCCAAGAGAGACTTCAGTGGCCACACAGGACAAATATTACAGACTAGACAGAACTAGTTCAGAAAAATCACTACAAAATACAACTACTACAAGCAGCAACAATACTTGGAATCTGATTTCCAGCATCACCACATTGTATTATTTAAAATGTCTAGTTTGGGACACCTGGGTGGCTGAGTCGGTCAAGTGTCTGCCTTCGGCTCAGGTCATGATCCCTGGGTCCTGGGATCGAGTCCTGCATCGGGCTCCCTGCTCAGCGGGGAGTCTGCTTCTCCCTCTCCCACTCCCCCTGCTTGTGTGCTTTCTCTCTGACAAATAAATAAAATCTTCCTTTAAAAAAAAAAAGTGGTTATATTAAAGCACAGGGACAGAACCCATGGGCAGAAAGAGCCACACTGGGGTCATGAGGAGTGACCCATTATACACTTTCAAGTTGGGAGGGGGTTAGGGAGAGAGTAAGTCTCTAAGGAATTTTGGAAGCAAGATTTCCAGGACCTCGAGGGGGCTAGCTATTGTTGGGAAAAGGTTATTTATTACTGTCTAATAAAACCTTAGTCATGAGACTCTTCAGATGCAGATCAGTGGGTCATATGCTTGGGGGGTGGTTAGAGATAAAGGAGATTTCTAAAGGACTTTTTGTATGTTAATGTAGATTCACAGGATCAGGGAGGGGGAGTCAGGCTAGGATTGCCTCTTGCCCTTAGCAAAGTGTCAACATCTGAGGCAGTTGAATCCCTAGAGGAACGTCACTCTGCCTGTTTCAAGGACTTGTCAATGGGCTGTAAGGAAATTTAATAATTTTTCTTCTGCCTTTGCTTCCCCCATCAATAGGGCATTTAAGACTTTCTTTTCCTCATTTGCGTAACCTTAGTGACTTTGAATAACAAAAAGCAATTATATTATCGAGTCTTGCAGTCCTGACCTGGGCTCATCTAGTTGGTTTGCACTTAGGATCTTTCCTGCCGGTGGTCACTGCGAATGGTGACAGCTGTGGTCTTGAGGGCTTCCTCTCTCACATCTTTGGTGATTGATGCTGGCTGTTGGTCAGGACCTCATCCGGGTTGGTGGCCTCTCTGTGCAGCCAATGTTTCCTGGAAGCATGGCGCCTGGACTCCAAGGTGACCTCAAAAGACAACAAGGTGGGCACGTATGGACCTAGCCTCAGAAGTCATATAGTGTTATTCCCACCAGACTATATGGGTCAAGGTGGTCACAAAGGTGTGCCCAGGCTCAAGGGGAGGGGACATGGACCCTGCCCCACAAGAGAATCAAAATCAACATCAGGCCATAAGAAGAGCAGGTAGAGGGCGCCTGGGTGGCTCAGT